TTATGGGCAGCGTTCATTAACTGCGGCAGATTAGGCCCCGGGAAATTCTGGGTGTGTAGATAGAATATTGGCACGTGCGCGTTCAAGTGGCCATCTAAATCATTCTCATGTTTGGTTACCGCTTTTAAACTATTATGGCAAGGGCCTTGAGCCGAGGCGCTCTATAAATGCAAAGGGAGACAAGTTATACAAACGGGTAGAGTTACGATTGCCCCGCGGTGTCGTTGTGGTTGTTGCGGGGCGAAGTCGCCGCAGCAGCCTTCCGCAAAGCCACGACGTTGTGGCTTTGCTGTTTTCGTTCGTAGATATGTCGTCGTTGTTGTAAGGCTGTCTTGACCGAGACTAACTTACCGCACAGTTTGTGAGCTAAACCAGGAAGAAAATAGACAACAGGTGGTAAAAAAAAACCTACAGAATGTATAATCTCCGCGCTCCAAGGTGTTCGTAAAGTCGTGCAACGTTTCCCGCACAACTTTCGTCGACATTTTGCCCGACGTTTGGAATGAATGGCTGTGCCCAGCGGCCCGGTGGGTAGCTATCTCGCAGGGGGCATAATGGTCAAAGCTTAGCGCACCGATGGATTCAGCGCTCATAAAATATCTCTGGCTGGCTTCAAATTATAACTCAGTTCCCAAGTGCAGCGAGGTTCATGATATCAGACCCGCTTGGCAAGGCAGTTGTGCTGCATAGCCCTCCTGCGCTTTCTCTGGTCGTACCGCACGTCGTTCCGCGTGATGTCAGACGTTTCGCGCCACATGCTTTTCAGGAACTGCGTTTATAAACCTTGAGAAACGTTGGACATCACGCCGAACGACAACATGCGGTAACAACCCCAAAACACATTGGAGAGCCATGTCAAGAAATACAATTCTGTGCACAAACCATATGCGGCGATTGGTATGTCGCACACCACTGCAGTATTACTCAATGTTTATGATTAAGGTAAAACATTGTTTTCAGAATTACAGCCTCGATTCTAGCGCTTGCTTGTATCTCCATAAATCTTTGACATTGAATCGACGACAGAGCCATTGTGTCGAGGACCATGGAAACATGAAAGCAAAGTCACAAAAGTCACACAGTGCATTGCTCGATCCCTCACTGTAGCGATGATAGTTAAGCTAAATGGCACTCGAGTAATTTACAGCATTCAGCAGCATCGCACCGGTAGAATATCTATATCCGACACGCATACACTTAACATCTGGACTCACCCCCACCCCCCACCCACAATCACACGTGAACAAAATGATCTATAAGCTATAATTAACCCTGCAGGAAAGAAGGCAGATAAACCAACGACCCAACAAAGACACTTTGCCATTGCTTAGTTGAACCACATTCAGTGAAGATAAACAGCGAACCACTTCGATAGATCTTCATTGTCACTCTCCCCTGCCAGAATTTTTTTTTTTAAGAGAGCTACTGCTGTTTGTTATGCAGCTGTCAGGTCCTCGGTACATACAACTAACGAGAGTTGACATTCTTCACCCAATGCCCATTCTACAATTGAACCTACCTGTATACTCTTAAGTAATCATACATCACTCAACACATGGGGTTCTCCCCTCCTCCAGACATGTGAGATCTTCTCCTTCCCGTGATATGTCCTGGTGTTCTTGCACCCCAGAGGTGGCAACCCTTTGTGGGTGCCCGGATTCAAACCCAGGTTACCAGCTGTGCCAACTCGATGCTTTGACCGCTAAGCCTCCTGGTTACCTCTCCCAAGGGAACACTTTTTTTTTAATCAGGGGCGGCCCGTCCATATAGGCGAACTAGCCTGTCGCCTGGGGCGCCAAGTTACGAGTGGGGCTCCAAATTCGAGGAAAGAAACATAAAAAAAATACAAATAAAATAACGACGACGTCATTATTTCAATTCCCCGTGCGCGTTCAGAGGGAATATGAATTTATTAATCATTAATTGAACAGACGGACGCACAGACAAACCGAAAAATGATGCCTCTGTTAAAACAAAAAAACAAAAATACGCTTTAAAAAAAAAAGAGACATTAAACGTAAAATAGGGGCGACATGTATTTTTTTTTTTTACCAGTCTACCAAAAACTTCAGGCTGGATCTGCCCTTGAGGTGTGGGGATGCGGGCGCCGATTTGAGTGGTCCGCCCAGGGCGCCAGGTGCTGGCAGCAGCTTAGCCTAGCCTACTTTGCGGTGCATCAAAGCGCTCCTCCTCCTTCTTGTTCCTCCACCGAACACTTGGCGGTGCGACCGGAGAAACGACGTGACGATGAACACCGACGACGCGGTTCCCGAGCAGATTCTATAACGAGTGCATATTCAGAACCCCCCCCCCCCCCCCCCGAGTTTAAAGCGGCCTAACAAAAGGTGCGTGTCTTGATCGAGGGAGCGTTTGTTCACGACGGGTTTCCTAGCGCGAACGCACAGCGTGCGCGGCCAAAACGATGTACAGCTGCAGACGGGGTGCACAGTCCCGTGCGGATCATCACGGATATCGACACGACATTATATCACCGGACGGGACACTCGTGGAACAAACATGTGCGTACGCCCACCACGTTTTGGACTAAACTGCACTTCGCTCGTGGAATATTTACGATCTATAGCGTAAGGATTGAACAGTGTCAGCGTCTCAAATAAAAAAAAATTCATTCGCAAACGCGTAGCGGCTTCTACCCGCCTTATTTTTTTATTTTTTTTGTGTGCCATCGCAATGCGAGTGACCCGGCTATAAATGAAGGCAAGTATAGAGCATTTTCGTGGGCGCGGTGACGTGGCCGAGCGGGTTAGCACGCTTGCCGCTGGTTTGCAGGGGTTCGCGGTTTCGAGCCCCACGGCCGCCCTGGTTAATACTGCGGGCGTATTAACCGTAACAATGCGCGTCCGCCAGTTTTACAGTGGACGACAGAAAAAAGATCCCCCTCGAAGGAGAGTAGGCCACGTGCGTTGGCGCCAGGGTCCAAAATTTGCCAAATAAAAAAAAACAACCCACAAATGGCTCCATTTGGTTAAACATCATAGCAACATTGCCCGCCCCCTCCCCGCAGTACGGCAAAACGTAGCAGACCCCCGCCCCGAACAAGTATTGAGACTCATTGAGGCTTTCGTGGGCCAATGCATGGACAGACAAAAGGAGTTTATCCGTTTTTGTATCTTTTAGATCTCCACGTCATCTCGCCACCCCCCCCACCCCCGAGTTGGAAAGAGGCCAAACGAGTGTGGTTTGGCTCAGGAACAGTTGCGGGAAGATTGTCAGGTGGGATGGGAGAAGCGAGAAACACGTCTGGACTGTGTGCCACTGCGATTGGCCGCACGGCGAAGCCGTTCGCTAGCAGTGGGTAAAGCATGTCTACCAATAGTGTGAAAAAGGCAAATAGTGTATAGTGCTTTTTAATTCGCCTGTAAATAACCACCAATCAGCTGTGGTCAGAATACATATGTTCAGGACAGAAATTTTAGCATGAAGGCTGCTATAGGGTTATCCTATCGATAGACGGTAGGGGGATATATAGTAATGCACATGGCTAGCGACAAAGCAGCTTGCCGTGTAACCTTTCTTTCTTGTTGCTACTTACTAGGCTGGAAACAAATCTTCACCTATTGCTGTAGACGGATTGTGGGTAGCGTGCTCCTCTCTCCACGGCCACGGTGTGGTTACGGAGCAATGCACCCGGAGGTTTAAATACGAGCTCTTTACGATCGCTGTCACAGTCTCACGGACTTTTGGCGTAGAAGACTCGTGTATGGCGTTTTATCTGATGAATGTGAAATTGAACACATGTATATATGTGTGTCTGATGTGAGGAGCGGTGGTGCAGCGGTTAGCGCGCTGCGCTACGAACCCGGCCACCCGAGTTCAATTCCCGCTCAGGGCCAACACCAGACGACGATTATCCGGTCCTGGGCCTCACCAAAGGTCGACTCAGCCTCAAATGAGGACCTGGTGCGGTGTGTAAAAACGTCGCCACCGGGGAGACAAAGGCGGCCAGGCGTGGTGTTGGCCGCCCACCCCCTCGTGTGCCGTGCCGGCCTTCATAGGTGCTCGCTAACAGCACTTGCCCCAACAATCTGTTACAGGCTATACGGGGGATCTTTGTCTTGCTGTGACGCTACCACCGGTGAAAGCAAAGACCAACACAAAGAGTTGGTGGTGACAATTGGGCAAAGTGTGGTGACCCCCTCTGTTACCAGCACGAACACCTGAATCGTTGAAACTTTTTTTTCTGCACCAATCCCATGTGATCACCCCCTCCCTGCCCCTCCTCATGGGGCCTTCCAAGAAAATTAAATTTAAAACTTCCTTGAAAATTATCAACGACACCCCGTCGCTTCGCAGACCTCAAGTGTAACCCCCTTATGACTTTCAAAGACCCTTGACGATGCCCGCAACACTCTATCGTAATTTAGAAATTGTCATGTGAGATGCAGTACCCTGTTTATAATGTATATAAATACATATGTATGCACTGTGCCACATCCTAAAGCTTTGATTATATGGATTACGGGTTCATAAATCTGCACGCCCATATTTTTGCTACTTTAACTACAAATGAAGCGTCCTATGTAATCTTCATATATCTGAAGCTTTAATATATTGTATTGTTATTTACAGTTGTCTTTCAATCCACTGCTGGACGAAGGCCTCCCCATACCTTGTCGGTCGTGGCGGTTGTTCGACCATACTTCACCACGCCCGTCGGGGTAGTCTGGTGTAGGAGCATCTCAGGACCGATTTCAGACATCATCCGTCACCGACGTTAGCTGTGGCAGGGGAATCGAACTCGGGCGACTGGGACTCGTAGAGCAGCGTGCGGACCAATGCACCACCGCTCGCTCAATTGATCGACCTTCCAGAGTCGATAAAACGAACACGTCCTGCTTGAGGCTGCAGAACTTTGGCGCGGGGTAAGTCATAAGTCGTTGGCGCTGCGGTAAATTAAGAAATCATCGGTCTCCACTGGAATTTTAATTAATATCACTGGCTCAGGACAGCTTATGGAAGTGCGCTATTGTTTCATGTGACCTTTGATGGTGGGGGGGGGGGGGGGGGGGGTTCGTAAAAAAATTTAAGTTGCGCGTTGAATGTGTCGCGGACAGACTTGCTCTAACTTGTTTATGCTGTCTATTAACAATCTCATCAATCTCAGGGAACGCTTTGTTTAATGACCCCCAGTCACCGGTGGTGGCAGTCGGGGAGGAAATTTATGATAGTGGAAGTCTGTGGGGGGGGGGGGGGGGGGGCGGGGGTACTGGGATGGAGAGGGGACGAGAGTGTAATGCAATTTAGGATATTTATGTTCAAAAATAATTCAAAGTGATTTCCTGCCCAAATGAGCACTGAGGCCAGACCCATATCCCGCTCATATCTCCCTGATCCGGCAGTGGAAATTCCACATTGTCACGACGCGCTCTAAACATAGAGGTTAAAGGTTACCGTGGATCAGTACATGCGGGTGCTGACCAATCAGAGGGGCCTTCCTTTCGCTGCCCCCCGTGCTTTGTCAATGACCCCCCACCTCACCCCCTCGCTCAGCTCGGCCCCGGTCCTCCTGGTCGCACCTCGCAAGCTGTGGCCTCCAGGACCTCCCGTCTCCTCCACTGACCGCTGAGCGCCTGTGAACAGAGGGGCACATTCACACGTATGCTGCTGATGATGATAATAATAATGTTTGGTTGACAATCACAGCCCCTTTGCCAACGTAATGCTGCTGGATGAAGACCGCTTGCAGGCTGCAGGCAAGTTACTTTTTTCGAGCACAGGAGAGGGGGGCCTTTGAATATTTGAGATGAGATGTGATTAGTTGCTGAGGCATCCAAACAAGTGCCGTATAAACGTCCGCTGGTCTAACACCGTTTGAGACGAGGCTCAAAAGAAAATTGTCTCTGGTGTGGACCAATCAGTTTCAAAGACAATGCATATATTACTCATTGTTTTTTTCGGTAAAGTCACGTATGTAGGAACACCATAAAATTATATTAAAACAAATCAATCACGACGTTTCGACCGCAACACAAGCGATCCTCATCAGGTGTAAAAAAAACAAATCACGGAGGTAAATACAACAAGAAGATGAGAGACGAGAATTCAACAAACCTAGGAAAAAAATATGTGATGCACAACCAGTCAGGTCAACAACACAGTTAGACACTTACCTGACGGACCACGAATTTCAGAAGAGTGTTAAAATTCGTGTTCAACCTCTGGATTGAACTTACCAGCATAGACAGAGTGAACAAATACGAGGTACAAGTCAGCAGAAGTACATATACAGAGACACCAAGAGGCAAGGACGGACAGAGAAGCAAGGAGGAAAGAGTCGGATGAACAGAAGCCTTAAATAAGAGGTGAAGGTGGGGGGAGGGGCCAGAGAGAAAGGGGCGGAGCCGCAGAAACGGGGGGAGGAGCAGTAGGAAGCACGTGCTGCTGCAACGCAGCAGAGGCGGAACGGGGAGCGGGCAGGAGCAGGTATGGGGCACACCACGTTTAGGACAGAATTGCAAAGGTAACTTCCCCGTAGAAGTGTGTTAATAAAGAAGTAAGGCTTTCGTGAATGCATAAATTACTCATTGGTTTTTTCGGTAAAGTCACGTATGTAGAAATACCATAAAATTATATTAAAATATATCAATCACGACGTTTCGACCACAACACAAGCGATCTTCATCAGGTGTGATATATCAATCACGACGTTTCGACCGCAACACAAGCGATCCTCATCACACCTGATTGATTTGTTTTAATATAATTTTATGGTATTTCTACATATGTGACTTTACCGAAAAAACCAATGAGTAATTTATGCAGTCACGAAAGCTTTAATTCTTTATTAACGCATATATTATCAGAGTATGTTTTTTTTTGCATTCTGACCACAAGCATTGTGGTTAATGCAGACATGATTCTTTGTAAAAGGTTTTAGTTTGGTGTTTTAACATCTTAACACCCGTTTTGCTGCCCCAAAAAAGGGGAAAAAACCTATTATCATATTTTGGTACTGGCAAATGAGATCCCATGATGGGAATAAAATGGTGTTGGTTCAAACGCGTCTTGACTCCAAGATACATTGCCCAGGAAGAGCTTAGAGCCTGTCGCCAGGGAAAGGGAGGTCTGGATCGCTCGACTCAACACGCTGCTGCCACGACCCTCACCAGGACAAGCGGACTTAGAAAAAGGAACGGGCATTTCTACATTGACAAACGATTCTGTGTACACCGGAAACAGCGGCTGTTAAAGAAGCTCAATCAAAATCTACTGGCGGATTTTAACAACTGACAAAAAACCAAGAACATATTTCAACAAAATTATCGTTCCTTCCTCATGCAAATGACATGTCTCACCTTTTCAAATCCAAGAAAATGAACTTCAAAATAAAAGTACTTTGTGCAATTATGTTAGACACCTTTATGTTGAGCTGCCATTACAAATCTATTTTTTTTACAGTGAGGGAAAAAAGTATTTAATCCCCTACTGATTTTGTACGTTTCCCTACTGACAAAGAAATGATCAGTCTATAATTTTAATGGTAGGTTTATTTGAACAGTGAGAGACAGAATAACAACAAAAAAACAGAAAAAACGCATGTCAAAAATGTTATAAATTGATTTTCATTTTAATGAGGGAAATACGTATTTGACCCCTCTGCAAAACATGACTTAGTACTTGGTGGCAAAACCATTGTTGGCAATCAGAGAAGTCAGACGTTTCTTGTAGTTGGCCACCAGGTTTGCACACATCTCAGGAGGGATTTTGTCCCACTCCTCTTTGCAAATCTTCTCCAAGTCATTAAGGTTTCGAGGCTGACGTTTGGCAACTCGAACCTTCAGCTCCCTCCACAGATTTTCTATGGGATTAATGTCTGGAGACTAGCTAGGCCACTTCAGGACCTTAATGTGCTTCTTTTTGAGCCACTCCTTTGTTGCCTTGGCCGTGTGTTTTGGGTCATTTTCATGCTGGAATACCTATCCACGACCCATTTTCAATGTCCTGGCTGAGGGAAGGAGGTTCTCACCCAAGATTTGACGGTACATGGCCCCGTCCATCGTCCCTTTGATGCGGTGAAGTTGTCCTGTCCCCTTAGCAGAAAAACACCCCAAAACATAATATTTCCACCTCCATGTTTGACGGTGGGGATGGTGTTCTTGGGGTCATAGGCAGCATTCCTTCTCCTCCAAACACGGCGAGTTGAGTTGATGCCAAAGAGCTCCATTTTGGTCTCATCTGACCACAACACTTTCACCAAGTTGTCCTCTGAATCATTCAGATGTTCATTTACAAACTTCAGACGGGCATGTCTATGTGCTTTCTTGAGCAGGGGTACCTTGCGGGCGCTGCAGGATTTCAGTCCTTCACGGCGTAGTGTGTTACCAATCTTTTCTTGGTGACTATGGTCCCCGGTGCCTTGAGATCATTGACAAGATCCTCCTGTGTAGTTCTGGGCTGATTCCTCACCGTTCTCATGATCATTGCAACCCCACGAGGTGAGATCTTGCATGGAGCCCCAGGTCGAGGGAGATTGACAGTTCTTTTGTGTTTCTTCCATTTGCGAATAATCGCACCAACTGTTGTCACCTTCTCACCAAGCTGCTTGGCAATGGTCTTGTAGCCCATTCCAGCCTTGTGTAGGTCTACAATCTTGTCCCTGACATCCTTGGAGAGCTCTTTGGCCTTGGCCATGGTGGAGAATTTGGAATCTGATTGATTGATTGCTTCTGTGGACAGGTGTCTTTATTCAGGTAATGAGCTGAGATTAGGAGCACTCCCTTTAAGAGTGCGCTCCTAATCTCAGCTTGTTACCTGTATAAAATACACCTGGGAGCCAGAAATCTGTCTGATTGAGAGGGGGTCAAATACTTAATTCCATCATTAAAATGTAAATCAATTTATAACATTTTTGACATGAATTTTTCTGGATTTTCTTGTTGTTATTCTGTCTCTCACTGTTCAAATAAACCTACCATTAAAATTATAGACTGATCATTTCTTTGTCAGTGGACAAACGTACAAAATCAGCAGGGGATCAAATACTTTTTTTCCCTCACTGTATATGATAAACAAATATTTGAGGGGGAAAAAAAAAGCAGGATTGATTTATTTAAAATTCGCTTCAAATATTAGGTTATCTCAACGCGCTTTGCAAACAGGCTTGGTAATTACATGACACGAAACCAATTTAAAAAAAAACAATTGGCATTGAGAATATAACAAACCAAATAAACCTGTTGCACGACGACTGCGTGGGGTTTCACAGTTGTGCTGCACAGCTCTCCGATCGTTCATCGGTGGCAAGAACCATAAACACTTCCAACAGGGAATGCTATATAATCCCTCACGCTGCCCGACAATGGAATTCCCTCCCATTGTCCCTTTCGCCTTGCGCCTTGCACCCGCGCTCAACAACCGTGATTAACAAAGCAAAATTCAGGACGAAGGAAACTCCCGGCAGGTGGGGCGATGCGTCGGACATCGTGCCCAACGATACACGGGACGAGCCAGAAATAAAAAATAAACGAAATCTGGAAAAGTCGTACTACAGTCTCGCAATATTCGCAGAGGTGGAAGAGGCAAAGAACAAATCCCTGACACATTGACGACAAGGGGAGGGCCTCACATTGATTGGACAGCGTGTTAGCTTATAACGGGTTACACGCCCCAACACTGTACGGGCGATGACAGCTCTGACAACATGTCTGGGAAATGAGAACACGGTACAAGATGGAAGTGCTCACGAATCCGTAACCGATTCCTGAGCTACCTGAACTTGAAATGCCGTAGATCTCAAAAAAATCTTAAAACTATTTCCATCCTTTAGGTTTTCATTTATGTTTATCCCATTCACGTACCCCAAGGTCAAGTGCGTCAAATAAAGTTTAATAATACAGGACTGAGGCTTGAAAAATTAACATTATTTTAGCCATTTTAATGGATTTTTAAGACCGCAAACTGAAGTATTTTTTGCTATATTGGTTTTCTTTTTTGATTTAGTTCGTATACAGTGTATTGAGCATGTACACGCTTCCCCTCGCTCTGTGCGGTTTAAGTTTTTGCAATTTCGCATATATATGCAGCTAACCTATGCCTGATTTCGAAAACGTTTTTTGGTTCAGCCATGTTTGTTTGTTGTAGTACGGAGTTAGACTGATGGCCTTAATCTAAGTTGTCTTGTGGTTGTTGTTGTTGTTGTTTGACTTGCATCCCTCTGGGATTTTTGCACACAGCGTTGGTGTACGGTGCTTTTTCAGGAATATTTTGCTGTTTTTTTCCTGTATTTTCTGTTTGCACAGTCACACATAGTCACTTTAATATGTTTTCATGTTCATGTTTTTGCTTCTTGTTTGTTGTGGTTGCAACCGATTCAAGAGCCGAATGGCTCACGGGGCTATACCAAATAAATGAAACTGAAAACCCAAAATTCGCTAAATGCACTTTACAATTCACTCCCCTCCCCCCCACCCACGTTCACTCACCGTGCGAGATTCCATCCGCCGGCCCCACGCCCCCCACAAAGTCCCCGACGGGTAGCAAGAGGCGGCGGGAGGGTCTCGCTCTCCCCGGTCGTGTCGGGGACGTTGCCGGCGACGGCGGCGTCTCCACGGAACACCTCTCGTCAGCCTGCCCCGTGGTCTCATCGCCGCCGGGCGCGGCTGGTGCGCGAACCGTCGTCGCTGGGGTGTGAATAAAAGGTAACCGCGTGTTCCCTGCTGGTCAATCGGTCACATTGACGTTGCTCTGGTTCGGTAATAATAACACACATTACAACTCATTACTAATCATAATCATTGACTGATTACCAATCGATTATATAATTACTGCACCTGAATGAGTTAAATGATGACGTCACCCTGCTGCTCTATTTAAGACCGGGAGCAGGTGAGGGCTTTACCATTCTGTCGAATTGCCCGACGATGTTGGATTTAATTACCAGCGAAACGTCGTATTCAAACTGTAAATGTTGTGGATTCACTCTTCAACACACCGGTGGGCTAAAGTAGTGAACTAATTGTCTTTTGTCAATGTGACACTTTTTTGCTGATTGGCCGTGTCGGGTGGTGGAGGGTTACGACACATTTATGAATAACGCGATCTAACCCAAAAACCTTTATTATGAACAGCATGTTTTGTTTACGTGACAATCTTTGCTAATTGGCTGAGTCGGGTGGTGGCGTGTTTAACGACACATTTTTATATTCACGCGATCCGACCACAAAAAAAAATAACCTCTCATGGACAATTTAAACTTGTATACCTGCGAGAGTCTCACTGAGTCTCAAGGCACTTCTTCGTGAGTGCCCTGTCAGTTTCTAACTGTTGCTGTGTGGAATTCCAATTGCATAATGTTTCAGCATTGGGATCTCAAGGCCAATAACCCAGTTGAATTCTACGGGTTTTTTTTTGTAACTATGGGAGGAAACTGGAGAAGCCCAGAGGAAACCCATGCTAAACAGGGGCAGAGAACATACAAACTCCACACAGAGTGGAAACCCAAGTCGAGAATCCAACCCAGGAATTTCTTGTTGTTAGGCACGAGTATTACCAGTCTGCCACCCTGGTGCAATAATCCAGGACGTATCATGTGAATAAGATTATTATCTCACAACATCGTAACAGGGTAGAGCTACATGTAAAACCTTTATCTTGAGTGGTGTTATTACGCCACTGACAAAAACCCGGGAGTTAAAATGCCTTGGGAAAACTTACAGATTTGCCAGGACGGCAACTGCCGCAGCAAGTGTACGATCCTGGAATCTTGTGAAAACCAGGGCTAGTGGCAGCCCCAGCCATGACTCGACCCACCTGCATCGGAGAATTTGACTCCATCCGCTCTGGGAGAGAATTCCGCCGTCGCCTTCCGGCACGCCGGGTTGACGAGCGTGGACGAGTTGGACTCCACGCTGCAGTAGACGTGCGCCAAGCTCGTCGAGTGGACCACCGAGGGATGGTGGCGGCGATGACAAATGGCAGCCGCGGCAGGAGGAGGAGGAGGCGGTGGCACGGCAGGAGGCAGCGCAGCGGCTGCCGCGACGTGAGGCCTCATCGCCACGTGCTTGTTCTTTTTCTTGGGCAGCTTCTGCTTGGCCATGGCGAGCGAGTAGTACATGCCGAAGTTGTTCACGATCACGGGCACCGGCATGGCGATGGTGAGGACGCCGGCGAGTGCACACAGCGCCCCAACGAGCATTCCGGGCCACGTCTTGGGGTACATGTCCCCGTACCCGAGCGTCGTCATGGTCACCACGGCCCACCAGAACCCGATGGGGATGCTCTTGAAGTGAGTGCTTTTGTCTTCGGCAGGCGCGCCGCCGCCGCCGTGGGACGCAACTGGAACGGAGCCGCCGCCCCCGTCAACGTCGCCGCCTCCGAGGCGCTCGGCGTAGTAGATCATGGTGGCGAAGATGAGCACGCCCAGCGCCAGGAAGATGACGAGCAGCAGGAACTCGTTGGCGCTCGCGCGCAGGGTCTGGCCCAGGACACGCAGCCCGACGACGTGACGCGTCAGCTTGAAGATGCGCAGGATGCGCACGAAGCGAACGACGCGCAGGAAGCCGAGGGCGTCGCGCGCCGCCTTGGACGAAACGTGGCTGAGGGCCACCTCCAGGTAGAAGGGCCAGATGGCCACGAAGTCGATGATGTTGAGCGTGTTCTTGACGAAGTCGGCCTTGTCCGGGCATGACGCGATGCGCACCAGGAACTCGAAGGTGAACCACACGACGCACACGCCCTCGATGTACGTCAGCGTCGGGTGCCGGTCGATGTAAATGTCCATGCTGCTGCTGCTGGTGGTAACGGTGGCGGTGGTGGTGGTGGCGACAGCTGTGGTCGTGAGAGGGAAACCTGGAGAGAGGGTAACAATCTTGAGAAGAATGGCAGCTCGGTCAACAGACAAATTCAACTAATCGCGAGCTGCGTGACACTGAGAAGGACCGTAACGAGTTGCAGCGTTTTGAGTGGACGCCCAGGCAGGAATACCTTGCTCTCTTAATTATTTCCTGGTTTGTGATCGATCGGTGTGGGGTAGGCAAGTGATTAGTAGCCACAGCTCTAATTGGGGTGTGCCAGGTGTGGAAAGATCTTCTGGGTCAATGAGCTTTTGTACTCGGCTAAATGTTGACACTTAGTCGAGTGTGCATTGCTGCATTTTGCAACGTCAAAAGTTCGGTGCTATGCGAGTTGATATGGCTTAGACATGGGTCACACCCATGCCATATGCTGAGAGGAGAGTCTACATTTGTGTTTTTATGCGGTTACTTTGGCGATATTGACACAGGTTTTAAACGTTCCTGAAGTGCAAGCTGATGCAAGATTGCCCGTGAAAAGCCCATGCTGGTGTTAATTAATACCTCTTACAAACGCATGGGTATTTTCCACGTCTGTCATGTGTGTTGCAATAATACGAGTACTGTTAGTACTCTATGCACTTTCTTCAGGTCTATTTACCATTTTGACTCTCACAAGTTCATTTTAATTTGTCCGACCGAGGTCATTTCGCGAGACGAAGTGTCCGTCCACAACCCTCGCGAGACAATGGCCTGCAGAAGGATACATCGCAGAACTACTTCTGAAATCTGTGCCGATGACCCTTTTCATCCAGACAGTCGACAGTGCACTTTGCTAGCCCGCTTGTACCACGTAAAGAGATGTTCTCTCCTTGACTGTCAAACCAATAAATTTGTTTTCATGCGCAGAGGTTAGCAATTTTCATTAAATCAAGTGTAAATCTTAATTTGTACGTCAGTGGGTTCTTTTGCCCTCATTGGTGACGGGGATTTAAACGCTCGAATTAACCACACTTGAGAACCCTGTTTGTGTACGGGAGGACAACTGGAATCAACCGAAGGCCCTCAGACTCACTGTTCTAACCTCTGAGCCATGCGGTCACCTCTATCTTTTTTTATTATGCAATTAGGGGTTCTCAATTGCGGCATCGAGGGCCCATTGCAATTTGTGAATAATCCCCTGAACCTTCAAGACAAAAAAGGCACCAGGATTCACACCATCGAGGCACCGCGTGTGACACAGGTGACCTGTTGCACAAATGAAATGCGTGATTCAGAAAAAAATACGAAATCTGCCAATTTATCCCAATTTAGTTGTCGGTGTCATGTACAAAAGGCCCTATTATGATCGCCCCCTCTCTCTCTCTTAGAGGAGTTCAACCCTCCGCGTTAGAGGCCGAACAGGATATGACAGAACTACTTCTGAGGCCCTTTCGTGTCACCTCTATTCACACTAGAGGGGAGTACTTTCCCAACCCTGCTACGGAGAGCAGAGTTTGCAATTACACCTAGAAATCATAGCTCCCCCCCTACTGCCAAACCAATTCCCATTTTGCAGCCCACCTGCTGAGTCTACCTTCTGCCACACAGGGACAGCTGCCACTGGGAGTGCCCTTTGAAATGTGTCAAGATGTGACGCGATATCAAAATCGCTATGAGTGACCGGGCGTCAAGGAGAGGGATTCTTTAAAAAAACTAATCAATACCATGACAGTCATACTAACACGTTTTATTCTGAGAGCTGGGACGTAGGGAAGTTGAGTGTAAAACCCAGACTTTGGGAATGTTTTTTTTCTTTCTGTGCAGGCATCGGTGAGCAGATGAGACCTTTATACGTCGATTCATCCCATGGACGTGTCGAATTAACGCAGCACACCCGTTCCGCTGGAGACAAAACACACGTTCATCAATAACACTACCTTTAAATATATAATCGGCGACCTTTCAGGCAAAGGACCCTGTTAGTTGTCTCTTAGGTGATGTTCTTTGGGTCTTTCGTCATGATCATTGTGTCATAAATATGCAGGGTACTGAGTTATGAAGAGGTGCAAAATGCGGCTCCTACAAAGGACTTTTCATGAATGTGAACCCCATTTATTTTCACTCGTTAATTATCGATTAAGTGACACCTAATTATCACTCTCACCTTCCCCGAGGTGTGTGCACATCTCTTCGGCAATACTTAGGCCGTAGCGTGGGCGTCCTAGTTGTTTTGGAGATAGCAGCTCGCTGAGTTGGAGTTGAGATAAAACACAGGTGGCGTGTTCCACAAAAGTTAACATTTACTAAATTAAAAAAATAATGTCTGTTCTGGGATGGTGGTCACAACGTGCAAACAGTAGATTGGTGCCACGCTGACGAGATGTTAACGACCTTGCCTGGTATACAGGAGGTTGTGGGTTCGACTTCGACCCTGACGCCTGCTGTTGTATATTTGGAGTTTGCGCGTCTCTCTCTCCCCGTGGTCGCGTGGATTTTTCTCCGGGTTTCGAACCCCCCCCCCCACATTTAGAATCAACATCACGCGTTTAGAGTATTTGTTTTCTCTAAATTTCCACATGATAAGCCACTTCGCTGACCTGTCATTTGTGATGGCCAGGTCGCTTCTAAAAAAGATCTATATAGCTAAGTGGGTCTTACCTGGTAAAATAAAAAATATATATTGTTTCGTTTTTGTTTACACATATATCGGACAGATAACTGCAGGGACATTCGAGAGAGACAACCACGCCCCGAATGGCGTGAGGGACAACTCATGTGCAGCAGTGAAACGGAAGAAAAACATCACCCGGAGCTTTGAAGGATGGGAGGCATTCATTCATCCAGGAGTGGAAAGACGACAACATTCAGGGGTTGGAAACAGCTTCATCTCACGCTATACTGCCTGGAGAAGTATCAGATACCATCTCACGCTATACTGCCTGTAGAAGTCGCAGCTACCATCTCACGCTATACTGCCTGTTGAAGTATCAGATACCATCTCACGCTATACTGCCTGTAGAAGTCGCAGCTACCATATCACGCTATACTGCCTGTAGGCATTCTGATACCTTCTGATATCATATCATGCTAGGCTGCCTGAAAGATAACTGATATCATCTCACGTCTGTAGGAGTCTCTGCTACCATCTCACGTCATGCTGCCAGTACAATTGCTGATACATTCTGATATCATATCATGCCAGGCTTCCAGAAGGATATCTGATATCATCTCACGATATGCTACCTGTAGGAGTTCTGATATTATTTCATGCTGTGCTGTCTGTAGGAGTTCTGACATCATCTCACGCACGGAGTTGACGGCTCTACCCCCCCCCCCCACGCTCCCTATAAATTCTTAGAGTCAAATCAAAACACATTTTGTATAAAATGTAAGCCCATGGCGTAAGAGCTCGAGCAGAATGCACGATGGGGAAAAAAACCACTTCGCATCTCCTCACTCATTCACATTTGCGTTTACGATATATTTTAAGTTTGTTTAGCAATTAACTGTTATCGTGCCCCAATTTTGGGGTTTTCTATGGACCCCCTGCCACGCTAGAGGACTCTACGTATGGCGACTGTAGGAATTTCCGGTCGGACACATTTTTGCTATGTTAACAACCTCACCTTGAGGAGCTTGGATCACGCCCATCAGGGAGACGTTGGAGGAGGATGAGGAGGAGGAGGAGAGCGGGTGGTGAGTGGTGGTGGCATCTCCGTGCGGCCGGTGAACCACGATGTTGAAGGACTCGTGGGTCTCCAGGCAGAACGTGGTGATGGAGACCATGATGAAAAAGAGTGACGCGAAGGCGATGAACTGGCGGAGGTGGGGGGAGGAGACCGAGGGCAGCCGTTTCGCACGCACGTTTCAAGTTGATTTTGTTTGAGCACGTGACCACTCAAGAGACCAGCATGAGCTTAAACTATAAAATATTACTCAACTGGACTATATATATTTTTTTTACATTTTATTTTACCAGGTAAGGCCCACTGAGCTATATAGCTCTTTTTCAGAAGCGACCAGGCTGTCGCTAATGATGGCTCAACGAAGTGGGCTTATCACGTGGAAAATTTACAGCAGCTAAATACTCTACACGCGTGATGTTGATTCTAAATGTGGAGGGGAAACACCGGAGGACCTGGATAAAAATCCACGCGACCATGGGGGAGAGAGAGAGAGAAAGACATGCAAACTCCAAATTTACAGCAGGCGTCAGGGTCGGGATCGGGATCGAACCCACGACCTCCTGTACACCGGGCGAGGTCGTTAACATCTCGCCACCGTGGCGCCCACGTTTGCAAGAGTCAGCTGGGTCACCAAAGTGATGGAAGCCAAATACAAATAATGTACAGCAACGACGCAAACAGGGATCAGCGCAAAATCATGATTAATTATTTGAACAAAAAAAAACCGTAGGTTATCATGGCCAATGCGTTCATCCACATGTTATGTTTGGGCGTGGCAACGCAGCGGTTTTATGACAATATTATTGTCCGTAACCCTCCACCATCCGACAAGATTGTCGTCACGTTTACAAATAGACGATTGTTATTCGTGGTAGTATTAATACGTGCGCCGTTTTACACCGAATGAGAAGCTCAGAGCAGCTTGAGAGGGAGACGTCGTGGCACGTTCGCGTTCAGTGTAGCCGCGACAAGTCCGAAGCCCCCGGTGGCGAGGAGCCTCGTCGGTCATAAAGATTGGCGGCGACTTGGGGAGGCATTCAACCATGGCTTGACTACGGCTGCTCCTGATGATGATGATGTATTATGTATCGCATATTGCATATTACAATCCTTACCTATTGACTCTACATCCCCTCCCCACCTCGTCCATCATTCAACCACCCCGTCCACCCCTGATGGTGAAGCTATTTTATTATCATCATCATAGTTGTGATGCTGGTTCACCCAGGATAGCCTCGCTGTATCTTAAGACTATTTTTCACGAGGATCCGGCCACACTTTTTCGCAGTAGGGGCGGCGGGGAGGGGCGAGGTTACTGCGGTGTGCAATGCCAATCGAGTACATTTGCAAGTGGACTTTCAGCATTGGGATGTTTGGCGAATACCAATTGCTGCGGTTAGCGTGTGATACAGGAGAATGACGGGGGGCTAACACACAAACTCCACGCAGAAAGTTCCCCAAAGTCAGGAATCAAACCTAGGCCTTCTCACCGGGAGACACAAGCGCCACCCTGTTGCCACCTCTACACCACCACCATCATATATATAGAAAATCAATCTCCCCTACCATGATGACACGGCGCTCGGCGTAGTAAAACATAAAAAGCAAAAGAGGCCAACAAAAAGTGTCGCTTTCTTCCCTTCTCAGCTTACCCTGGCAGCTCGTGACGAGTAGGGGTCCTCGAACAGCGCCCACACCCTGCGCTGCCAAACTCCCCAGCAGCGTGCCTTGCCCCCTCTGCCCGAGCAAGGCGACGTGCCCGTCGTGTCTTCAAGCCCATCGTCGACTCCTTCCCCGTGCGAGGCGCAGTTGCTGTGGTTGTGGTGCTGCTGCTGCTGCTGCCCGTCGGCGCCGTTCAAGTAAGGGCTCTCGAACTGGACGAGTGCCTCCTCGGCGTCGCGGTGATGACGGTAGCTCATCCAGCAGCACGCCTCGATGTCCGTCTCGTCGATGCCCCAGTAGGCGAGCTCCTCCTCGAACAGAGGGCCACACACCTCGGCAGGGCAGTGCAGCTTGCCCGTGCGGTAGTAGTTGAGGATGATGGCGAACACGATGGGGTGGCGGTCGAAGAAGAACTCGCCCGTGAGCGGGTCGTAGTTGGGGCCGCCCGGGGCGCGCGAGTCGGCGAGGCGGGCGAGCCGCGTGCCCGGCAGGGTGCGCAGGGTGCCCCGGTAGGTCTCGTGACGCGTGCCGCCCACGTTAATCACCACGCGCTCCTCGCTCGGCGGCGGCTCGTGTTTCCTCATCATGGCGTGGCGCTTTAGACATGTCAGCGCTCGCCGGGCTGTGGTTGTGGTGATTATGGTGGTGGTTGGTTGGTTGGTGCTGCTGCTGCTGCTGCCGAAGGTGGTGTTGGTGGTGTTATGCTTAGTGCCGGGAGTGGTGATGATGGTGGTTGGTTGGTGGTGAGCTATTGCTGCGAATGGAGATGGTGGTTGTGATTTTGGTGGTGGTGGTGGTGGTGGGAACGCATTTGGTGGTGGCTGAGGCTTAAGTTTGGCAGCGACTTCACAACACCACCAACAACTATCCCGTTTCACAAGGCAAACGTCGCCCCTACACCCAAACCACGACCCACTTCCCCACCTCTGTCCCGCCTAACTCTACCCCCCTTTCGCCTTGCCAAGCCGAGAGGCAACGCATTCGAGACGTGACCCTGTGTCTCTACGAGTCGCTACCAAAATCTCGCCAGCTCTCTTATTATCTATAAACTATCCCGATCACGTTGCCCACAAGGATGAAGCCAGACCAACGGGTGCCCGTCTTCCTCTCGCTGCTAACCTCTGCTCTAATCTCTCACCCCCCCCCCCCTCTCCTAAGTCATTGTATATTTCCTCCGTATATCGTGTGCTCCCCCCTCTCTCTCTTCATTCCATCTTCAGCTCCCATATACGGAAAAAAATATTTCACCTTCAATCTCCCCAGCCAACGTTATTCCTGCCGCTTTCTCTGCTCACTGCTATTCTAGAATTTCCTGGTCTTCTGTTTCTCTTTCTTGCTCGTTCCTAATGCGCCTTACCTCTCTCTCTCTCTCTGCGCTGTCTTTTTGATTTCAGTCCACGTGTCCTCACTCCAAGCCCCTATTAATACCTCTATGTCCCCGCCTCTCTTTCCTATTCCACACTCCCCCCCCCCCCCACCTCTTCGCCCTATTCTCGACCTCGCTCAAGCTTCAACCTTCCCCAACAACTCGCTCGTTGTGTCTCTCGCCCGTCTCTCGGTGTGTTTTTGTTGTTGTTGTTGGTGGTGGTCGTTGCTATCTCGTATGTGGAAGTTCAACTCTGCCTACCGCCAAGAGACGGACACAGGTAAACGGGGGGAGTCAGATTGGTCGTAAGTGTGTGCGCGTGTGAGCATATACACACACACACTGCACAGCACGAGGTGAGGCGCGTACGTTGTTGTTGTTGTTGACTTTGTGTGTGTCCGTGGCTGTGCTTGTGCGGGTCCACATGCGTGTGTCTGTATTTCTGTTCGTGGTCTGTGTGCGATGTGTCTGCGTCTGCGTGCGTGTATCGCGTGTGTATTTGCGTGTCCGTGTGCCAGTATGTATACGTGTGCGGGTCTGTACGCCTTTCGCGTGTACTTTGCGCGTCAATGTATTGTGTCAGTGTGTGTCTGCGCCCGCTAGCAGCACTTGCCCAGCAACAGTCTGTCAGGCTAGCCGAGGGATCTTTGTCTCGATTTTCTGTCTCGGCGCGTCCGCGCGTCGCTTCCTGCGCGCGCGTGTCAGCGTGTGTCTGTGTGTGCGTGTGTCAGCGCGAGCCTTACGTCTGTGTGCGCGTGTCTCTCTCCATGTGCTGCGCGTGCGTGCGGTGCGTGCGTGTGATCTGCCTGTTGATCGCCCGCCTCTGGAGAGAAAGAGGCCAGAAAAAAAAAACCCACCCCAATAGAAAACAGTGAACGCTTTCGATTGCCCTGCCTTGGTTAGGGGGTTAAGGTTTTTGCCGGGGTTTTTTTTTTTGGAGAACCCCATTAAATAATTGCTCTTTTAAATGAAAAAAAAACGAAGCAATGATTATTAAGCCCGTAGCTTCTCTTTCAATAGATATCGTCTCCACATTGGCAAACCCATTACGAAATCAACATAAGAGCTCCACCTTCTGTTTTGTTTATGCACGCACACACATGCCAACATTCAGGCGTAACATATCTCCTCTGCATATACCAGGATACGTTTATACCGTGTACACGTACGTAATCATATACAGAATACACAATTCTTATATACACACCAATATGCATAAACGTACTCGCACACACACAACACACATTTCTCAATGCATTGTTGTGTATTGGCATACATAAATATGCAGCATAGTCGATGAAGACGGCAGGTTCATATACACCCATGAACATCTAAGAAGGCACGGGTGAACATGAATACACACAAAGACTCCCCCCACCCCCTCAGCACATAGCCTTAAACAGACTGCTGCGCAAGTGTTGTTAGCGAGCACCTATTAGACATACACACACAAATGAAATCGCTCATCTTAACACATGCCCATGCACTCGGATATGAACACATGCGTGACCGCACACACACACATACACCCACTCACACACAACCACACACGCACAAACACGCACACACACAACCACACGCAGATACATTTACCAATCAAAACCAAATCCAAAATTTGCCACTATTCAGCTTCACGGACTATCGAGTCAAGTCTGGTACATACATGCATGTCTGTTTGTACGATTGCAACACCTATAACAACCGCATGCTCCAAAATATACAACAAACCACGAGCACTTCCATAAAACACCACACACACACCTACCTAAAATAAACGTGCGTGTGAACACAAAGACAAAGATCCCCCAGTATAGCCTGCAACAGGCTGTTCGGGTAAGTGCTGTTAGCGAGCACCTTTGAAGGCCGACACGGCACACGAGTAGATGGGTGGCCAGAAATCACCCCCGGCCGCCTTTGTCTCCCCAGTGGCGATATTCATACACCGCACTAAGTACTCATTTGAGGCTGAGTCGACCTAGGGGATTCCCAGGACCGGTTCAGATAAACCTCCCGTGAGCGCTAATCGAACTCGGGTCACCGGGTTCGTAGCACAGCGCAGCTAACCGCTACACCACCGCTCCCCACACACACAGCCTGTACCACACACACACACCGCATACTGACACCCACCCCCCCCCCCCCCCCATTACACGGCATTACAAATTCTCACCTCGAGTTAAAAAACAAAAGGACCCAGCGCCGTGCCTGTGACGACTATCGCTCTCCTCTCTCTCTCTTGCCGCGTCTCTTGCCGCGTCTCTTGCCTTCTCCGATAGCCGACAACACGGGCGGGAGTCTTGGGAAGCTGCTTACTTGCTGCTGCTGCTGCTGCTCCGGGCGACGGACGTTGGGATGGCTCCGTCACTTTATGATTTCAAAATTTTATCTCTTAACCTCGGCGGCGGTGGCGGCTGCTGTCGCTGCGGTGACACCGTCGAGGGCGACAGCATCGTGTCCGCTCTACCTCTGCGGTGGCTCAGAGTCTTTGAGTGCCATATCGATTTACGTTTTATTTTAAACCCGTATTACTAGTAGCAGTACTGTTGTTGTTGTTGTTATTATGTCGCCGACGACGTATTCGTGTGTGGGAGAGAGAGCGAAGAGAGAGGAGAGAGACCTGTGGCTGAGAGGACCACGAAGACTCGGCGCGCAGGGAAAAACTGCTGCTGCTGCTGCCGGGCTACGCGTGATGTCACTTACACGCACGCACGCGCGCGCGAGCACGTACATACAAATACAAAGGCAAAGAAACCCCCCCCCCCCTCCGGGAAAGCCTCAATAGACTGTGTTGTAGAGTGTTGTCAGCGAGCACCTGTTGAGGCCAGCATGCGCACAGGGGTGCGGTGCAGTGCGTTGTTGCCATCAGAACGCCGGGGCGCCTTTCTCTTCCCAACCCCGATATTCCCGGGGCTGATGTTTGGACAACCGCAACAGGTACTCGTCTTGAGGTCGCGTTGACCTGGGGGAAGCCCAAGATCGGCTCTCATTTTGCTCGCGCGCACCTCCGATTCGCACGGTTTGGCTCTGTACGGTGCGAAAAAAGTTCAATATACGTACATGTTAGCCGTGGGCGGGAATCGAATTTGTGTCGCCGGGTTTGTAACCACTGCGCCACCGCTCCTCGTACCCACAGAGACAAATATCCCTCATATAGTCGTTAACAGACGGTTGGGGCAAGTGCTGTTAGCGAGCACCTATGAAGGCCGGCACGGCACACGAGGGAGTTGGTGGCCAGACATACACATACACGTGCTCGTATACACACACACACACGTGCGTGACCCGTGTGCGTGAGTGACCCAATACGAAAACATTTTAACCGCGAGGCCCAGCGCGTTCTTGCGTTCCGCCCACGCACGCCTCATTTTATTACAATTGATTTATGTGCAATGAAGAAGCGTTATTGCCCGAAACGTCGCCTATTGATTTTTTTTCCCATTTAACAGTAGTGTTATTGACGTTTTTGTTCATTGTTATTGTGTACCACTACTAACCCAGCAGCATCGCCACATAATGCATTTTTCTCACAATAGCACTCATGTATGCGCATTGTATAATGCCTTCATGATCGTCATCTCGTGGCTTGTACAGAATGCTGAGTAGATGTGAATAATTAAAACATATATAGCTTAAAGGTTATTAATGATCATTATCTACCATTGTAAACATATCACAATGCAAAGGATTGCCAGGAATATAATTAATGACTGCATCTATAGAGGAAGCAATGGTTGCTAGGAAACGCTTTTGCAGCCGACCAGATTACGATCATGATCATAAATAGTCAGTAGCTGTGGCAGCAGCTGTTCCGTACGCTACCCTCATCATGATCACCGCAGCAGAAGAAACAGCAGCAGCAACAACACCGCTGTCATCACATTCCGGCTCCAAACAGGTGGTGTTTATTATTATTATATAACGTATCGTGAGGTTTGAATGCGCCGTGAGTTGATTAAAACTTTGCCTCCTGCCGTCAATGTGGACAGCGAGTCGCCGTTGCGTGATCGTCAGACGACGGCGCATTAACACTCCATGTCGGAGTGTTCAGTGGCGAGGGAATCGAGCGAGGGGTTGGGGAGAGAGTGGTCGCTCAGGTGCGTTTGAGGCGGCTGCGGTGATACGCATATTAACGGAGTCCACATGCAGAAACACGAATAAGCATCTAGCTAACGGAGGACAAATGCTTGCAGAGAGACTACATTCAGCACCATGGACAGCGACATAACTAATACTCAAGCTCGGAGTCCATATTCAGAACCATGGTGAAGTATGGTGAAATACTCCCCATTACTGACACGGCAAGAAGAGGCCATCATCTAACAGAGGATTGACAAAGGGTTGTAATTGTTAATCGACTGTTCAGAGGGGGGGGGATGTGTTTGTATATATCACAGAGGCGTAAACACAAATACATATCTTGGAGTCCAGATTTATTTAAGGCGCAAGAGTGCATACTGACACGAGCACTACACAGGGTGTGGGCCAGTGGTGTGACAAGGACTGCACGCTGGGCCCCTTTAGCCGACAAGAATGGGGCGGCTGATCCGCGGTGAGAACCGGGGTGGAGGAGGCACCTGGGAGCCCAGTGAGTTGCTCAGGGATAGAAACAGAGGAGAGAGAGGGAGAGAGAGAGAGCGACGCCCCCTTCGAAGGAGCAACCCGACCAGACCATTGCCACAGCGGCCAAAGTGAGACCCTTGCTGGCCCATAGACACCTGCATGCGCTTAGGTGGTCGGGGACAGCTACCGAGGGTGCCGGGCCGACTTATAGGACTTCGTGGCCTCTCTTAATAATACATGGACATGCTGCTTGTGGGGCTGAGGTACTGCGCGTGCCATGGGAATTATTAAAGTGGAATCTTTCAGTTGCTTGGAGGCACGCAGAGATAAAACAATAGCAGTAACTGTGGTTTAGTAAAATTATTTGAATGAATTAACAATAATTTTGGCTGCCAGAAATTTAGAGAGCAGGAGTAGCTGATGAGCAATAAATGTTGGAACACTTGGCACCGTTAGCCTTACTGGGCCATATCGGCTGGAACCAGGACACGTGGTCCACTTGCTTCTGGACCGGGTAGCTCACTATTCAAAGTTCACCTGGGCGTCAATACCGAAGATAGGCGCGCAATCTATGGCATCTCCCGCTCGGTTAAACTTCAGGGCTGTGTTAAAGACAATATTTATACCGTAATAGGTTTTTACCCTTTTATCTGGCACCAAAACTGACACCTTTATACAAGGGATCATGTTTGCAATAACCACAACACAAGCAGTCAAAATGCAAACGAAAAGATACAACTCTGATAATGATATGCACTGTCCTTGAGGAGTTGTCTCTTTTTGTTTGCATTTTGACTGCTTGTGTTGTGGTTATTGCAAACATGATCCCTTGTATAAAGGTGTCCGTTTTGGTGCCAGATAAAATGGTAAAAACCTATTACTATATCTTGCTACTGGCAAAGGAGGTCTCGTAATATAATATTTAGACCGTACAGCTGGAATCAATACATATTACATTATATCCCACTAGAGGGCAGCATTATTAAGATGTAATGCCTCCGTAAATATAATGACGGTTTTGAACCCAGGCCTACGAATGATTGTATCTAGAAGTTCTGAACGGTGTTGAACACAAATGTTTATTTTCATAAAATATACAGCATACATATACTGTATTCAGTGGGTCAGTCAATGTATTTGGGAGGAAGGTTTTAGGCTCGGCAGGGGAACCTAGAAGACAATTTTACTGGTCAACAATATGAAGAAACGCCTCCCACAAGCCCTGCCAAATATAACAAGAAGTCCCGCCCATTAATGACAAAAGTCCCTCCCAGTAAAAAGGTAGCTCCACCCATTATAGAAAAGCTCCACCAAGGGGCCATCCATTTAGAACGTACGCATGGAGAGGGGAGGGGGGGGGGTTAACCCAAATGCGTACGATTGCGTATGGGGGGTCTACTGACAATGTACGTACGCATAGGAAGCGGGGGGGGGGGGTGAAGCCTCGATAATAATTTGTCTACATTGGCCTTCAAATGAGTTAGATTGTCCGGCGGTGGACTATCTGTTTACTTAAATACGTTAATATTCTTAATCCTTGATCGTTTCTGCGTGGATTAAAAATCGGCCGTTCTATAGGATTCGGGGGGGGGGGGGCTGCGTCAAGCAGTACGTACGCAGGTGGGGGGGGGGGGGGTAGAGAGTACGCGTGCGTACAGGGAGGGGGAGAGGGGTCAGGTTTTGACAGATTTTTGCGTACCTACTAAAATGAATGGCCCCCAACTATAAATAAGCTATACACACTAAAGAGCTCAGCCTATTCGAGTGAAAAGCTCCACCCACTATAAAAAGTTCCACCCACTACAGAGAAGCTCCACCCACTATAGTCAGAAGCTCCACCCACTCTAGAGAAGCTCCACCCACTACAGAGAAGCTCCACCCACTAGAGTGAAAAGCTCCACCCACGATAAAAAAGTTCCACGCACTATCGAGAAGCTCCACCCGCTATAAAGTAGCTCCACCCATTATAGTCAGAAGCTCCACCCACTATAGATAATCTCCACCTGCTATAGTCAGAAGCTCCACCCACTATAGAGAAGCTCCACCCACTACAGAGAGCTCCACCCGCTATGAAGAAGCTCCACCCACTATAGTCAGAAGATCCACCCACTACAGAGAAGGTCCACCCTCTCTAGAGAAGCTCTGCCGACTACATAAAAGATGCACCCACACCCGTGAAATCCCAACCCAAACTAGGTCTTGTTGCAATGGTATAAGAGGTATAACTTTGAAGTTTTCGTCACTGCAGGGATCCATACTCTTTGGTTCTTTTGGTAAAGTCACGTAGGTAGAAAATTAAATAAATTAAATCACTATTATTATTATTTTATACCGACGTGACTTTACCGAAAGAACCAAAGAGTCGGTATAACTTCTTTAACAGCCTGATTACTTTATGAGACCTCCTTTGCCAGTAACAAGATATAGTAATAGGCTTTTACCCTTTTAGCTGGCACAAAAAAACTGACACCTTTATACAAGGGATCATGTTTGCAATAACCACAACACAAGCCAGCTAAAAGGGTAAAAACCTATTACTATATCTTGTTACTGGCAAAGAAGGTCTCGTAATGTAAAGGCTTACCCCGAGCTCTCAATACTCTGATAGTGCGCTGTTATTGAGTTGTACGCTTTATGGTGTCGTCACGATGTACTTACAAAAAATTCCGCAGACTACCTACTGGATCTCCTCTCTGTTTCAAAGAACAAATTTGACCTCAGGTCTTCGCTCATTTACCAGCTTCACATTCCCTATTGCCGTACAAAAACTAGAGGAAGGGCCTTTGCTATTGATGCCCCCAGGGTCTGGAATGCTATTGCCAATAAACTGCAACTTGAATCACTACCTATGAGATCTTCACTAAAAACTGCTCTAGAGGAGTTGTACAACCCTAGCTGCCACTGCTCTTCAGTGGCCCAAAATATGGCTCTAGATTTTGGTGTTATAATTTATTTATGTAGTTTATTGTTAAAAATTCGGTCACAGTCTATATGATCACTGTTTCATTGGATTTATGGCTTTTATTTTGGTGATTTCGAAAAGTTTTTTTTTTGTTTTGGCCATGTTTTTATTTATTGTAGTACGGAGTTAGACTGATGGCCTTAATCTTAGTTGTCTTGTGGTTGTTGTTGTTA